TGAGGATGTCTGTCATGGCAAAGGTTTTTAATCACTTTTTAATTGCATTTAAATTGTCATCTTTATTCTGAAATTTGTATGTTCTTTATCTACCCGTTTCTTACACTTTTTGCCACTGCTGTTGAGGTTTCCAGGGCATCCTCCTGGTTTTGTTTCATAATGCTTTACTCACCTACAGGAACTGTCACTAAAAATCCCTGTTGGCTGGGGGCTGCTGCTGCTTTCCTCTGGAGCAGGATAGATGGCAACTGCAGTGCCACAGATGTGATTTAACGTTTCTGTGGGTGTCTCCCTGCACCCCTGGCAGGCAGCGTGGGGGGGTGAAGGTCTCCTGGGCAGTCACCACACCTTGTTTGTCCTGTGCCATGTGAAAATCAGCAGATGAGGTGCTGTGGGGTGGATGGAGGAGCCACACGTGCTCCCTTCTCTGATGCTGCTGGGGAGCCAGCCTGGCTCCAGAGCACAGTCACAGGCATCCCTGATCCCCCTGAAACATCCTGGCACAGAATCCCAGACTGGTTTGGGTTGAAGGGACCTTTCCAGGTCACCCAGTCCAACCCCCCTGCAGGGAGCAGGGACATCTGCAGCTAGAGCAGGGTGCTCAGAGCTTGGTCCAACCTCCCCTGGGATGGTTCCAGGGATGGGGCAGCGACCACCTCTCTGGGCAGCCGGGGACAGGGTCTCACCACCCTCAGCATCAACAATTCCTTCCTTCTCTCCAGTCTATTGCTACATCTGTCTCCTGCTGGTTGAGCAGTGCCAGGCCTCAAACTGGGTTGGTGTGTTGCTCATTTGTTACTCACAGGACAGCACCAGGCATGTGGAAAGTAAAGAGAGGGGAGGTTGCACCTTGTGTTTTGCTTGGATTTTGGGCACTCCTGGGTGTAGCTGTGTTGATGTTTTTCAGGCTGTGCCTCTCTGTGCACATTGCTGTGCCAGTTCACAGCAGTTTGGCCTCAGTTTTGGCACTACCCTGGGGCTTGCATACAGAATGAAGGTCAGATCTGGTTTTGGCAAGAAGGGCATCAGTTCTGGTTAGGTGTCCACTGATCTGGCAGCTCCATCCAGTAGACATGGGATGTCTGTCCAGGTCAGAAATGCCATGGGCCACCTGGTGAGGTGTCCTGGTGGCTGCCTGCCCCTGAGCCAGCCTGGCTGTCCCTGTCACCTCGGGCTGTGTCACTGCACAGGCAGCTGGTTAGGCACACAGTGAAAGTGTTAATTCTGTATACGTGGTGGGGTAGTGGGTGTTTAAAAGAACCCCTCCCCAAACCTGTCATGTGTGGGGAAAGTACCTTTGGAGGAGCACCTATGTCACTTCCTAGATGTGTTCTAGAGTCACTTCTGTCCTGCTATGCTGTTGGGGGAAAGCAATCCCATTTTTCTTACTCAGCCATTGGAGGTTTAGTCTATTAGTGCTCTCTTTGCTTGGCAGTGGATTGGATTTTTCCAGTGAGGAAATTAGATTTCTTCCTTCCCTTCCATTCTGTCTCTGTCCTGAGTTCACATCAGCTGGCAGTGGCCTGTGCACTGTGCTGTGTGGGATAACCTTTCCTTCCACACACCTCCTCGTTTGTGGTTTTCCAATTAGCTGTATTTACACACAGTGCTTCCTCCCTTGCTTCTGCTGACAGCCAAGGTGATTGGGAAAACATGCTCCATGCCCAAACTCATCTAGGGGCCAGTGTGGGCTTAACCTGGGCCACTTCAGCTGGCACTGAATGAGGAGTGTGCCAGCTGGGATGAGAAGTGTAGCCCATGGGCAGGGCTTGCAGCTCAGGAGCACGGCGTGGTGGGACGTGCTGGAGGCACTCAACAGCTTGGGGGACTCAAACACCCTCACATGGTTTCTTAGAACTTAAATTCCATGCCCTGTGATGTTCTGCCTCAGCTTCCCTCTGCTCGGGTGGTACTGTGGGTCTCACAGTCTCCACCTGATTGTTTCCCTCCCTTTTGGGATAAGGGAACATCCTGAGGGTTCCTTAGAGGGAAGGCATTAAGAGCGTTGTGTGTGTATAAAGATATGGGGAAAACTGTCAAAAATCTTTGTTTTAATGTTTTTAATACTTTGTGAAGCTGTGACTCTAGAATCAGGCTGTCTCCTCGGGGGGTTCCTGCAGTGGGAATGCTGGTGCCCAGACTCCAGGTGCTTTGTCCTGGCCGTTGCCCCCAAGGAATACTGCCCTGTGATTACAGGCTGGGTGGCTGAGGCTGAAGCTGGGCAGGGAGAGCAGGCTGCCAAGGCAGGGGCAGCAGTCAGCTCCTGGCTTCCAGTGGAGCTGGGGCTGTGCCACCAGCATTGCTTCGTGTTTTGGGACGGGGCAGAGGTGAGCAAGAGGCAGGAGAGCTGTTCAGGCAGCCTGATTTAACCTCTTTTTCCTCCTGATGTATCATTTGCAGATGACTTACAACTTCTTTTTATTGGTCTTTAAATAAAAGTATTTGCTATTCATCCCTGTGCAAATATCCTGTGAGGATAAATGTCAGCCTTGGAAGGCAAACGAGGGGGGGTCTGAAATTTGCAGCAGTTTGTTGCTGCGTGCCAAGTGTGAGAGCAAGTGGGGAGGGGTGGGACGTGGCCCCTGACTCCCTCTGGCACTGCCAGCTCTGACAGTGGGGTCTGGAGGAGCTGGGCTGTGCTGTGGCAACACCAGCTGATGCCAGCCTGACTTTGGGATCGTGGAATCGTTCAGGGTGGGAGAGACCTTTCAGGTGATGGGGTCCAGCCGTTCCCCCAGCACTGCCAGGTCCCCACTGCACCCTGTCCATGCCTCAGCACCCGTGGGCATCAGCAGGGAGCAGGTCCTGGCTCCTGGCAGCCTGGGAAAAGGTTGACTGGAAACAGCAGTGCTGAATCTTTTATCACAGAAAATTGGTGCCAGAGACGTTGGGAAGGCAGGAGGCTGTCCCAGTATGTTGAATATTTGAACAGAGATGTGATGTTCCATACACATGGAGTGCCTGCTGATGTCACTTGAGAGCCACACTCACCCAGCTACAGCAGGGATTATTGTTTTGTCTTCTCCAGCTTTTTTAGGGAAAAGGGCAAAAATCAATCATGTGCATGTGATAATCCAAAGAAAAGAGATGCTAAAAAAAATCTCTGCAGTGATTTCCTTTCTATACAATGAATAACTGCTGCACAGGGGCTTGGGTACTATGCACCAGTGACTCAAAATCTAGTATTATGGTTTGGACACCTCTTCTGGACTTCATATAAAAGTTGTACTCTTGGTTAATTGTTTTTTTTCACATCTGCTACTAACCAAAATGCAGTTGAAATGCCCAAGCCTTACCTATCCAAGGCAGGCTGCCCGTCTCTATAGTAACAAACTGCCACCTTGGACTGAATGAAGGAGTATGGGAGTGTGAGGAGCTGTGACTTTAAGGTTTAGAAAAGCACAGAACCCCCTTATGTCTGAAGATTAGAGAAATAAAGTGGCAGTGACCTCTTTTGTGTAGAATTTAAAAAATTGCCTAAGCTTGGGATACTTCATTAGTAAGAATGAAACCATATTAATGTCCTAAGGAGCTCTGTGTTTTAATCTTGTTTCCCTAATTAAAATGTAGAAGCCTTTTATAGCCAGTGAGAGTCTTTGAGGCTTGTGGGTTGGTTTGGGTTTTAATTTCCCTCCCTTTCTTTTCCAAAGCTGCTGTGTTTGTGTAAGCTGAGGGAAATATGGGCTGCCTTGCCTTGCTACAGATAAATTTTCCTTCTGTGTGGGATGAAATCCATTGGTAGTTTTTGTCACTGACTGAAAAGAGAGAGGAGGGGGAACGTGTGGTGTTTAATCCTGCATTTGATCCAGAAGCTGGTTCCTGGTCAGCCAGTTTAAATCTGTGTTACGGTGATAAATGCTGAACAAGCTGCAGACAAGAGTGTGAATGAAGGAGCAGCTGTCACCTCTTCCTATTATCTTATAGCTTTGCAATTGCCATTTTAACAACCATTACATTTTAATTTAAAACAAGCAGAGGAAACATCCCAAGGAAAAGCAGCAGTGCTGACAGCAACCCATCATGCATGTTTACAAGCCTGTGCCTCTCTATCAGCACGCCGATAAGTACTGCACGGCTTTGGTGGCAGGTTTATTGGGCTTAATTATTAATCTGGAGAGGTGGCTGTGGGCAAATGGGAAATCTGAAACAGAGGCTTCTGTCACAATCCTACTGGTGAAAAAAATTGACTCTATTTCCACAAAGCAGCCCAATTTTTCTATTTCTTCTGCGATTTTTTTTTTTATGTTGTGGTTTATGTTTTTTTTTTCCCCTTAAGCTGTGATTCTGATAAACTCATCTTCATTTCTGAGGAGTGAATAAATGTAGCCAGAACTCAGGGTTTGAGGAAACTTTATGTACTGAACTCAGTTGTCACAAGGCAGCTGAGGCAAGCAGTGATGCCAGCAATGGTGGTGAATTGCCCCACAGCAAACGGAACGGCGGGGACAGGATCAGACAGGTGGAAGGTTTGAAAGCTGATCAAGATTAGCTATTGGAAAACCAAAATGCAAACCCAGAAAGAGGCCCCTCAGCAAAGCCAGGGTGAGACTGGCTGAGTCACGGCGTGTTAAACTGTGCAGGTGGCATCCCCTGGGAGCTGTGCCCCTCTGCTGCCCAGCAGGCTGCCTGCAAAGGCTCGACGTGACTCCGAGGGGGCTGAGAAGGCTCAACCCAAAGTCTTTCCATTGTTCCCTGTAAAAACTGAATCTCTTACAGTGTGGTAAAATCCTTCTGGAGGCAGAAACTGCAGGGAGGATGCTGGTGAGGGTTCTGCAGGAGATGTGTGGAAGCTGCAGTGCTTGCCCCACAGCCAGCTGTTAGCGGGCTTCTCTGCGGCTCCGGAGGGTGTCGGAAGCATAAATGCAGGAGGAGTCAGGATTTATGGGGTTGTGCTCAACTTGGGCCAAGGGTCTTGAAGGGCATTATTTTGACAGTGAGATACTCCTCCTGGGGTGCCTTTGCTGCTGGGGGCTGACGTGTTGGCATGTGCTGTGTTGCAGGGATAGAGCTCTGTCCTCCCGGGCACCGCTTCATGATCACCATGGTGGCGAGCTTCATCGAGATGGCAGGGCAGTTCCTCATGCCAGGGCTG